AGTTTTAGTTTTTATTTTCTATGTTATATTATATATTTCAAAAGTTTATAACAATTTATGCCGTATATTTCAAAAGTTTATAACAATTTATGCCGAACATTTTAGAGACATAAGGACAAGTGAAGTGGCTTCAGTTTGTCTCCACAACAGTCAACGTGGGCTCGACGAACATCGGGCCACCAACTCGGCATGCCGAGTTCGGTGGCCAAACTCGATGGGTTTAAGCCGATAAGAGAGAGTGTGAGGTTTTCCAATTTTGACCGTTTTTCTTTTTAATTTCAAATTTTACCTCCTTTTTAACATTATATAAATACTAATCACTACCATATTTCATATATATCACCTTTTTCAAAATTTCACTCAAAAACTCTTGTTTTTGTAAAAAATGATTTCACCTTCCAACCCAAAAACTCAAAAAATACTAAAAAAACACTCAAAACACAAACTCAATTTCATAGTGATCACCTACTTTCATTCCAAGTCAATGTGAGATACCTATTTATTCATCTCCTAATTTCAAGGTTTTATAATTTTAAATTTTATGTTGATTTTTTTTGGTGTGCTGTAATTTTATTTTCTAGTGTAATGAAATTTTAGATTTTATAAAAATAATTTGTTCAAATTTTAATTGTTAATATTAATTAATTTTACAAAAAAAATTAACATGACAACTCACGACCTGTAAATAGTAAAAATATGATGAAAGATGGCAAATCCTAGGTAGCATTTACCTGAACTGTAGCAAACTTAGTACCACTCCTTCCGGTCTAAAACCTAAAGTAAACAATTTCTAACTAAGATATATAAACTTTAAGTTTTATCTAACAATAACCGTTAATTTTGTCAAACATGAAATGTACGTTATATATATATATATATATATATATATATATATAATATATATATATATATATATATATATATATATATATATAGGTTTAGGTTATTTTGTTTTTACTAACTATTGTATGCCAGAATACACAAATCTGGACCACTGAATGAATAGAATCAACAATCATGATCTGAGTGTCTATGATATTACCATAGGATAGCATGTACCATATAATCATACAAATTTCAGCAAAAGGGTATTTTGGTCAATTAACCTATTTTAAAAAGAAAATTTTCGGATTTTAAGGGATCATTAATTCCCTTATTTTTTAAAAATATGAATTTTTAAATTAATTCTAATTAAAATTTAATATTATTTATAATAATAACCGATTTTATTCTGTCAGAATGACAAAAAGTCAACAATAAACTAGTAAATATATTTGCGGTTTTATTCTTGCAGAATATTGTTTCATTCAAGATACTTTTTATATTAAACATGCTTAAAGAATTATACAACATATTATCAAGAATAACATTTTCTAAAGAATACGGATTACATTTATTCTTAAAGATTAAAACTAAAAATGGTTAAAAAAGAAAAAAAAAACATCAAAATCTAACAAAAGCACTAATCCATTCCAAAAGAATATTATTGTTAAGAAACACTTTATACATTTTAGCATAATACATTTTGCAAGAATACACTCTAGTTCTCCATGTTTTTTTCTTCTTTTCCACATCAATGACAGTCTCTTCAAAACCTAAATCCACAAAAAAAAAACATAATCAACTTTCAATTATTAAAAAATTCGGAGCATTCTAAAAGAATAACAACTATAAATTCTGACAGAATGTAGTAGACATCAAACAATTGTAATTTATTCTAACAACATGCATTACTGGTTATTCTGCTAGAATATACTATCGCTATTCTAATAAATGCATTACTCGTAATTCTGTTAGAATGCATTACCAGTTAAAAAAATATACTTGTTGTTAATAAAACATTCTTAAAGACTTTTTGACAGAATGCATTTATATAAATAAATTATGACAGAATACACACAAGCTTTAACTTATATTCTAATAGAATTTACATCTTTTTTTTATAAAATAAAAATACCAAAATAACATAACTACACATATTAACATCAATTCTAAAAAAAATATTTCATTTTTATTTGTTGCTTAAACTTCAATTCCTTAAGAAGTCTAACAAAATATTATCTACTTTACTTCTAACAGAATATTTCAACACATGTATAAACATGTTACCTTAACATATTCTGACAGAATCTTCCCAATAAATCCAACATATCAAACTTGCCTCTTTTACACAAAAACTTTCTCTTCTTGACATTATATCAAACACTTGGAAGACATGTTTTATTATCAAACACTTGGAAGGCATGATAGGTGATTCCTTGGTAAATCTTGAAACCTGTGAAAAACATGAAAAACAAAAATCTTGTCTCTTAGGACTTTTAAGAAACAGTCAGGACTTTTAAGAAACAGTCAGTAGGCACTAAACAAATAACAAATGTGTTTTTCCAAGTTTGAACAAAAACATATAGATACATTGTTCTGTGTACTTTGCTTTTCAAAAACATAACAATTGCAAAATATTCCTTTTTTTCTTTTTTTCGAAAAAAATCAATTCTTTGTTAAATATTATAAATAAACATTACTTATAATCACTATATTTTTTAATCACTAATTAACATGTTAAAAACAATAAGTGTGATCTTTTTACAACGATATATGATTTTTATACAAATGTCAAATTAATTATTATAATAAACGTACCTGGAGGAGGTGGAGCGCAAAGTTCCAAAGCCATGTCTTTGTGCAAATTAGCTTGAAGAATAATCTTGACTTTCTTGCCGATTTGTCGGCGGTGGAAGAATAAATGAGTGATGGTGGTATTTGAGTGTGGCAGAGTCCCACTCATACACTCTTCATTATAATTGTCGATACAAATCTTAATCGCGTGCTTCATGTCAATCTCGATTAAGGCTGGATTACTTCGACGAAATGGATGCGAAAAGAGGAAGTGGGCAACGGTGATGATGATGGTGTTGATGCCGATGATGAACGTGTTCTACCACACGACTAGGTCAAATATATTTACTTTATTTTCTTAATTGCAGAATTTCAATTAAATGATTTACTTAATTAAAAGTACAAAATGTCCAAAATACCCTTAAATGATTTATTTAATTATTTGTTATTTCTTGAATTCTCATTGGTGCATTTAGACACACAATAATTGCTAGAAACATTTGAACCTCTCTCTCTCTCTCTCTCTATATATATATATATATATATATATATATATATATATATATATATATATATATATATATATATATATATATATATATATATATATATATATACTAGACGTTTACCCGCGCCAAACGACGGGTATCAATAGTTTATTTTAGAAATTAGTTTCTAAAGACGATAAATTTCTTTGTGCCAAACAATATATTATTTAATGTTTCGTCGCTTTTGTGTATATTTGATAGGTGTTTTTATTTGTTGGATCTATTGTTTCAAAATTAGATCATTTCTAATTCATAACATATAATTTTTTTTCCATTGATGTAAATTTAGAAAAAAAAAGCATAGTAATTTAGGTTTAAGATTTGGTATTTGTTGTTTACGGTTTTGGTTACACTTTATGGTTTATTGTTTAGGTTCTTGTGTTTAGATTATAATATATAAGCAAATAATGGGATACCCGCGCGATGCGGTTGCGACTGTTAGTTTCATTTCTGTGAATAATTAAAGTACGAAGATTAACTCACATAGATGAATAGTTTCCATACGACATAGTTTCAATTCACAAACATATTAAAAAAAATCGATGTTAATGGTTATGATTCCGATTCCTAAAGTTTGAAACCCTAAGGACCGATTCTGTTTCCAGTTCTTATTATTTTTTTTTCTTTTGGAACTGTCACCCAATGGGTACTCATTGAACTGATGTTTGAAAGAAGAATTAAATTAAATATATGACTATTTAATATAAAGATTTCTTTCTAGACCTAGTGTTATTGAAATTTTGACTTCTTACCTTTCCAATTTTTAAGTTTCTATACACAATGTTGCGCTATTGAAGAACTGTGATACAAATTTTATTGTGTTTGTATCTATATTAGAATTATATTAGAATGTATGATCATTTAGTGCCAAATAACCTTTAATAAACTAATTCAAATTATTTCACCATTGCATACACTAGAGTTTAAATATTTTTTCCCATCCATTTACATAAAACTATTTTAGATCTTTAAATATTTGAAAAACATGCCAAGTTGTTCATAGATGATAGGTGATATGTGTATCAAGAATATCATAAATTTTAATTTATACTTTTTTTCTATTTTATATAAACTAGAAAGGTTACCCCCGCTACGCGGGGGCCAGAAGCTTTCAATGTTGTTTCCGAATTGATAAATATGACAGACATAGAAAGTGCAAGTATGAAAAGTCCGGGCTTTGCCCCGGACAAAAAATATAAAAGTTTTGACTGCAATGACCAGAAGTGTGAAAATGGCTAAAGAATTAAAGGGGTAGGAATTAGCAACTTTTTAGAAAAGGGATCAAAGTTGTTAAACCGTTAAAGTTTTGTGGCCAAACTTTAAATATTAAAAGGTTCCAAAAAAGTGTAAAAATATTGATTGCAAGGACCAAAAGTGTCAAAATGGGTAAAGAATAATGACCAAAGTTGCCAAAAAAACATCCAAATTTAGTATTCCTAACTTCCAACAATAATACAGGGACCAATTCTGCAAAAAAAATGAGAAGTTGAATGGAACACAAACAAAAGGACATGAATAAATTAATTAAAGAAGTACAAGGACCAGATATGTAAATCAAGGGACCAAACTTGGACAAAGTATCCCAAGTTTACTATTCCTTTCTTCCACAACTTTAATATATATATATATATATATATATATATATATATATATATAATAATTAGTTTATTTGAATACGATTAATACATAATAGTTTGTTTTTAGAAGTTACTGAATGAGAAAAAAAAAACAAAAACTTAGTAAGATACATTTACAAAAGCAAATATTAAAAACATCCTACTAATAGTAGCATGAAACAGCACCAGAGGCAACAACCATTGAGGACGATTATACCCTCTATATCATTAAAATAACACCAGGGACTAATTTAAACAAATATTAAAAAGAGAAAACAGCATTTTTTCTGAACATACATTCTTCTACAATATATGATGTAAAACTAATTTCAACAAATACTAAAAAATAGGAAAAATCGCAAGCAGTAGATTCCTAAAGATTTAGAGTTTAGAAAAAATGTCATTGCCCATGGCCCCTCCAACAACCCCTATAAAATTCATCTTTTACGTCATGCGCTTGACATTATTATTTTCAATGATTGGAAAAACATAACCAATAAGATGAAATATCACAGAAGAAGTTAACAAGAAAAAAAATATGTTACTAACCTATAGAAGTTCAATAGGCTACATTGGTCTTTGTAGTAACTTCCTCATTATTTTCATTCATATCCATCTGAAATAACCAAAGACTAAATCAAAAGGTCAAGAAAAGTTAAGGTCAGAACATTTTATAGTCAAAAGCCTAAAAGAAGCATAAATGACTTAACACAGAAAACATGGCTAAAACAAATATAAATATAAGTTCTCATCATTTTCTTTTAACATAATGAGTAAACAACTTAATACGATAAGATGTTTCTTTTTGGCTAAATACAGAAAGGACTCAAACCAAAACTAAGGGAAAGGGGGTTTCCCTCAATGCAAATGCACAAACATGCTGCCATTTTTATCCCTCATGAACCATTTCCCAAAATCCAAAAAAATTAAAAAAAATTAAAAAAAAAAACTCCAAATTATGAACAGCAGAACCTTCTGCAGGTGCACGTGCAAGTGTTGTGCTTAGAGTTTCCAAATGCGTGCTTATGGTTTTTTGTGAAGATTTCTAGTGTTATTAAAGTAAAGGGCAAAATGGTCCATTTTGGTTTTTCTTTCACTTTTAATGATTTTAAAAATAAAAAGGGCAAAATAGTCCATTTTAGTTTTTCTTTGCAAATGCGTGCTTATGGTTTTCTGTGAAGATTTCTAGTGTTATAGAAGTAAAGGGCAAAATGGTCCATTTTGGTTTTTCTCACTGTTATAGAAGTCGGGCATATGCTTATTAAGGGAACATACGAAATTCTCCATTTTTTAAATAACTTTGGGTTCAATAGTTTCCATTCAGCCATATCTCATCACAAGTCTTAATGAAATCACGATTTTCTAAAACTTATATCAAGCATGTTAATAGACAGATTAATAAACAATAATGATTTCTTATATGTTGACATATTAGCCAGGCTGAAGCAATTGCATAAATTATTAGGAATCTCTCCATTTAGATTATTGTCAACTTGTCATTTAAAAGTTACAAAATAATAAAATATGTTAAATATAGAATTAAGTAAGAGTTAACTAAATAATATAATATGTTAAATATAGAATTAAGTAAGAGTTATTAGCAGAAGAAGAAAATTGGCTTACCAAAGGGTTAATGTTTATAGCTTTAAAATTACCAAATTACCCCTCCTTAGCTTCCTGAATTCCATGAGAACATTATACTTGTGAGAGAGAACATTAGATGTCTGATATTTCTCAAAAAATTAATTTTAAAATTACCTTCACAAAGTTCACATTTTATGGGATTGTGAAGCTCTTCTACACTGATGGAAATATACCTGTAATAACACCACCAAAAAGCACTATATTCAAAAGGATATATGATAATTTGAGAACTCATAAAAGGAATGAAAGGTAAGCCATATGGGACTAAATTGGTGGAGGGTATCCCATTTTGAGATCAAGTAGAAGAATTTCAGCCCTGTACCTATGAGAAGTAAGCCAATATTGCAACATTCAATCATTCCTACATAAAAAGAAACATAAAGTTGGCAAAGGAATCACACAAGCATTCATACTTTCATTTTTGTTTTGTCCACATCTACACACATACATAATTATCCTCCTCTTCAATTTGATTATGAACCAATCGACACAGAAAGATACCTGACGTTAACACTCACATGTTTTAATTATCAAGCCAAGATGAGCTGCCCTTCTTTCCATGAATGGAAAATCAAAAAAGTCACCATTGTATGTGACATAAATACCAGGTTTCACCTCTGCCATATAAGCAAAGCATGATTTGATAAGTTCTTCCTGCAAAGAGAGATTAAATTCTTGAATCAGAGGATGCATATCAGGTACAGGATAAATAAAATCTGAAGGAATTTTCAGAAATCACACCTCATTCTTCACATTTGTCACTTTAAAGTATCCTTCAAATTCAGCTTTTGGTGTATATTCCAAATCTTCTATATCTTCACCAACACATTGTAAGAAAGCATTAAGAGTGAATATCATACATCAGAAAAGAAAAAATCAGAAAGACAATAGCATGTAGATGTACAGTACACTGAAAGCTTAATAAGTTAAGATGTAATCCAACTATGAATCTTGTATCTTCTGGGACAAATGTAGAGCCAGCTTCAAAGGCTGATTTGGCAGTCTGATATATCTATATATACCCATGCTTGTTATTTTACAACCACTGCCTTCCCTATCTTTCCTTTCTTCTTTTTCCTTCTTCAGCACTTTATCACATAGAATAAATTATTAATATAATCAGAAAAACTCCATGTGTATAATATATATTTAAATCAAGCAGATGCTAATTAGCATAAGAATGAACTATAAACAGAAAGCTAATGAAACTTACATGCAACATTTTATTTAACACGTTGACGCCTTGCCTCCAGCATACCCATCTCCTAATAACAAAATACTATAGTTTATGTTCTTTCTTTAATGATATAATTCTTACATACTTTTTTTAAACAGATAAAAAAGATCCATATAATCAACCCAAATGTTTGGGTCAAAGATTGGAACACTTCGGGAGTTGGAGCTATCTTTAGCTGCCCATTCAGCCAACATATCCATTCAACTACAAACAAAATTGTACAACTCTAGAATATGAAAACACAATTCAAAATAAGATAATTTCAGGTAATCAGACATAACTCATGGTAATTATCCCTTTCAACAATCATACTTCAGAAACTTAAATAGTTTTGACTTACCTGGTGAAGTCATGAACCAACAAAATTAGAAAAGTCATAAAACCCGACCTCATATGGTTGATCCTTACCCCTTGTCCCACAAAATTCAAAACTTTTTGTTAACTTATGTATCTAGGAAATGAATGTCAATATAGAAAAAAAAGACCAAAAGTAGATTTTCTATCAAGTTTTACAAACCTAAAAAACTTTTGACATCATATTGCCTTGATCAATAGAGATGTTCTTTCGACCCTGTAATAAAAAAAACCCAGAAAAATGGCTTAATTGACATCAAGTCATCTATTTACTTCAATGTCAACTATACATATGCAAATTCGAGGAGTTAGAGGGACAAACCCATTGTCAGCGATGATCAGGTCTTTAACAAGCATAGAAAGACAGGAGGCCATGTGTTCAGAACTTGAATTTCTCCATTTTCATCTCGACGATAAAACAAAATCGGAATCAAAACATGAAGGAGAGAGATGAATCAGAAAAGATTGGTCGAGATGATGAGATTGGAAAAACTTACCAGGTAAATGTCGATAACGACTGAGGTGTTGCCGAACCGATTTATTGCGATGTTGTTTGTTAGGTACCTTAGTTTTCTGATAACGGAAGGATTCGTTTATCGAGCGTACTTACGTTCGATCTGATGACAGTAGATGCAATTTTGAAAATGTCTTCGGTAACGATGACGCCTCTTATCCCGGCTTCGTCTTATTCCTGAAAGATGCAGTTGTACGAAAGGTCGGAACTTGATATGTTGGTGTGTACGGTGTGGAGGAGTTTGTATTTGCATTTGTGATGATCGAAGGGACGGTTTGAGAGGAGGATCGACGTGACATGATTTAGGGTTTGTCGATAAAGACGACTAATTTAGGGTTTTTGTGAGTTATGGCGAGTATAGGTGCATTTGCCGTTATATATATATATATATATATATATATATATATTCTCAATGAGCAGCTGTATTGGATAATAAGTTGTACATGAGGTAATATGTATTGTACCTCTTAATTTTCAAGAAAGAGACAATATACTTAATAATATATATATATATATATATATATATATATATATATATATATATAAAGTTGTCTAATAGTCTGATGTGGACCAACCACATATTACGTGGATGAAAGCAACACAAGATATATGAAATATTGGGAAGAAAGCAATTTTCCACATCTAAATCTGGTGGATGTTTCATCTCATTTATTTTTTTCTGAATGTTTTAACGACGGGCTCATTGAATTTAAAGAGAGTCTTAATACTTGTAGCATTTTGTTACATCGGTTTTTAAGTGTTACTTCACTTTTTTTTCTTTCTATTTAGTACTTAATCTTAGCATTTGATAGAAAATGGTAACACTCCTAACATTTTATTTTTTTCTTTTTCTAATTTAATTAAATTACATTATTTTAATATACAAACATTTTTTATGCATTAATATTAAACAATTTTTTTTAAACCACAAACAATAATATAATATACATTATATTTTTTTAAAACACCAACATTTCATATCAAACTAAAAAAGTTACAATAAATTAAATTTAAAATACCTAGAAACACGATTTAATAATTCAAATCACGACAAACATGACTTAATATCGATAGACACAACTTAATACCTAGAAACATGACTTAATACATAAAAAAAACACACTTCATAACAAAAAGACACTTCACAAAAAAACACAATAAAGCAACGGGTGTTCCTCCGAAAACTGGTCTTCTAATTCCTCTTCTGGTGGCATATTTAGATCAAGATTGTCCATCGTCCAAAGATGATCGGTCAAATGGAGGCGAAGATCAGTATGGATTACTACACTGTTGAATATCCTCATTCTTTGTATTCATTCTTGACCACCATATTCTAGTGGTTGTGTCTCTGAGATTACTTCATTCTCGTCGTACACACATTTCACGTTGCCTTCATTTTCTAGTATCATATTCTGGAATATGATACACGTATATATCACCTCTGTCATAGTAGAAATATCACGAAACGTGGATGCTTTAGCAACTATCTGCAAACGCTTTTTAAGTGCTCCAAATGACCGTTCGACATCTTTTCTTGCTTTTTATTGGACTCACTTAAATCTGGACCTTTGAGGGTCATCCGAACATGACAACATTTTAACGAAAACAGAAAGGTCATGATAGATCTCATCCACAAGATAGTACCCAAATTTGTATGTACTTCCTCGGAGTACAAATGACGAATCTGAGGCAGTACCGTCATACAAATTGTTGAATATTGGTGAATTATTAAGAATATTAATGTCATTAAGCGATTCGACACTACCGAAAAAGGCATGCCAGATCCACAAATCCTGTGAGGCAACAACTTTAAGTACAACCGTGTGATAATGATAATGTCCCTTTGTGTATTGTCCATGATATGCGTTAGGACATGCATTCCATCTCTAGTGCATACAATCTAAACTTCCTAACATCCCAGGTAAACCATGCACATTTGCATGATAAGCATACAACTTTTGTATGTCACTAATAGTAGGACGTGACAAATATCATGGACCGTACAAAGACATGACAACTATGCAAAATTCGTGAAGAATTTCTCGGACGGTACGTGCGGACATCCTAAAACTCTCGTCTAGTACATCCGGGGGGGGTAGCATATGATAACATACGAAATACATAAGCACATTTTTTAATTGGATCAAAGCCTAACGTACCTCTTGCATCCGGACATTGCTGCATATACTCAGACACTGAAGTCACACCTTCTACAATACGCATAATCAAATATTTATGCATCCAGAACCATCAACGAAAATAATATCCTTGAAAGAGAGCATGTCCGTCAAAATAATCCTGCATAAGACGTTAGTGAGTTGCTTCACGCTGTCTTTGGATATATTTTCTTTGTTTACGTTGCACATTGCTGGATTCAATGTTGTTAAGATGTTGTTCTAGCTTATTACGTGTGGAGACGACTGACTGTATCACGCTATCAAAAACATCGTCAGACGATGATGACGACAAACACAACATTATTTTATATAAGAAGGACCCAATTTGTGAGAGAAAGAATGATAGGTTGTGTGTAAGAAATATTGAGAATTTAGTGGTAGTTATAGGGGTTGAATTGTTAAAATTTGTGGTATTTTTTTATTTAATGAAAGTGGATTGCAATCCAGTGATATAGGTCTCCACCAATCAAATTGAAACTACACATTCTTTCTCATCTCGCCACAATGTTAACGAGGAAAGGGCAGCGAGCCCCCTAGCGAGCACTAGGGGGCGGTGTTCCAGTGTTTATAGCGAGCCTAACGAGCAATATTAACACGCTCATTCCATTTAGCCTAAGGACACTATATATGGACATTAAACCGAAAAAATGTTTTAGGAACAATATTTCAAGGTAGGATCATTAATATGCTTATGAATATTATTTGAAAAAAAAGAGAGAAAGAGAAAAAGTCTTGCGTCTTTAGAGTCAAATTACAAATCTAATCTTCAAATATTTTTTAGTTCAGGTTTATTTTAAGTTTATTACAATTTAATATTTTTATTTGTAATTAGTTTTTTAATAAATTATTTAAGATAACTCATTGATAAAATAGTTTATAAATTCCCATGTCAAATACGATCTTACTCAATTTTACAAATCAAATATATATGATTAGGTCACGTAGATTAGTTAAGATAACTACAAGTATATATATATTATATTTATAGAAATCAGATTACATAAGATATATCCTAGATTCTAGGATGCTTTTATATATATATATATATATATATATATATATATATATATATATATATATATATATATATATAAAAGCATCCTAGAATCTAGGATATATCTTATGTAATCTGATTTCTATAAATATAATATATCACCCTTTAGGGTTTGTAAGGCAATATAACATGTTTGAATTGGTATTAGAGACAATATCTGTTGGCGTTGTTTTCTTTCTTTCTCCTACATCCGGTGCCAATTCTTTTTTTTTTCTTCATTGGTGCTACGTTTGTTAATTCTGCCAAGCTTGCCACTGCTATTACATGCAAGTTGAGCTGCACCAATTTCCTACTTTGGAAGGCGCATGTCACCTTCATTCTTAGAGTTGTTCAACTGTTTGGATACCTCGATGGAACTGTAGCAGCCCCAATGTCAAAGGTGACAGTAGGAACCAGAGACGCAACAAAAGAAGAGATAAATCTAGAATAACAGTAATCGGTTGTTCAACATCAATCCATTCTTGGCGGATTGTTATCTTCCATGATCGGAGAATAACTATCAAAACTCACCCGTTGCATTGACACATCAAACTAATTATGGACAACACTCCAAACAACGTTCTCAACCCAACATAGAGGGAATTCTATTCAGATCCGTACACAACTTTCAAACACGAAAAGGGCGACATGAGCGCATCGTAATACTATCAAAAAATGACAGCTCGTGTTGATACTATGGGAAATATTGGCCACCCTATGACCGATGAAGAAGTTTATGGTTATATAGTTGCAGGACTTGGCCTAAGTCATGACCATATCTTCACTTTTATCAATATCATTAGCAATCAACAGGAAGTGACACTCCCAGAATTTTTGTAGCACCCGTGTTCCAAATAGGTTAAGCTTACTTTTATCAAGGACAAAAAATGAACTTTTAGAGGAAGTTCTGCGCCACGAAGTGGACAAGGATGCCCACGACGTGGCAAAGGTTTGGAGGATCGTGTGTTTTATTAGACCGCCACGGCGTAGCCAAGGGTTGCCACGACGGGGTAACTATTTTTGCCCAAGCCCATGATTCTTTTAGGTTTTGCTTCGTATTTAATCCTCTCTAAGCCATTCCTAAGGTTCATCTTCAGCCTCCAACACCCTTATACCTCAGAGAAACCCTAACCTCCATTCCATTGGTGTTTGTGGCATTCTTGGAGAATTTGTTAGATTAGAGAAGAAGAAAAAAAGGAGAAGAATGTACTCTATTGTGGGATATTGCAAGGAAGCAACACCATCAACATACCTCAAAGCTTCTGGACCTTTGGAAGTGTCAACTGCTCTAGCTTTATGGATTTTTGTGGTTAGATCTTGAATATTGTCCCATGTTCTTCATGATTTAAGCAAGTTTGGAGGGAAGGAACTAATAAAGCTGACAACTTTAAGACTCTCCTAGGTTCGAAGAGCAATATATGTTGTACACCTATACTTTGGTTGGAAATCTCATCATTGCATGATTTTTGGGCATTCTTAGCTTATTATAACCTAAAATGGATTCTAGACATGTTTTGGGTATGCATGTCTATAAAGCTTCCACCTTTATGATAGATCTGGTATTATAAACCCTTCTAGAGTGATTGGCTTAAGGACTTTTCAAATTAAGGACTTTTCAGATTAAGGACTTAATGGTTAAGACATTATGGATTTTAGCTTTATTTGGACCTAGGTTTTGAGATCTTGATCTCTTTAGGTGTCTTAATGGATAAAGTGGGAAACTTTATCCATTTAGACCACTGTATGGACAAGATCTGAGCTTTAGAGCTCTTGGAATCGAAGAAAGCAACTTAATCAATTAAGTTGTTGGAATCTCAGCTCCCACGGCGTAAACATAAGTCGCCACAGCGTGCTGACTAGGAATTCTCGTCTGTTTGTTCGTATGAGGGCCACGACATCGCCAAGGGAGGCCACAACTTGGCGGTTGACTAAAGTCAACATTGGCCGTTGAATTTTGGCATGGGTTGGCTTTTGGTCAAATTTCTATTTTTAGAAGGCAACTTAGGGTTTTCCTCGTCTGGATTGATAGGAGGTGTTTAGCCC